CATTTATGGAAAGACATATTGTTAAGGCTAACAAAGTAGCCAAATAGAAAATAAAAAAACCTAGCACCTGCCATTATTTTTTGATCCGTATTTCAAAGCTATTTTCTGCATGTTTTTCTGTACTTTTGTAACTAYGCCAGGGGTATTATTTTAATTCACATTATTGCATTTGCTATTTATGAGCACCATAAGTAATGTTGTAAACAACTGCCATTCTAATTTGTGCTCAAATATGCTCTTTGCTCTTTGTAAAAAAGAGTCTTCAGACTGTTTATAGTGCTTGGTGTTTGCTCAAAGGCTAACATCTTAAAGCTGCTACATTTTTAGTATGTTTTATTAAAAAAATCAAAGTTTTTTAATTAATATCAAGAAACATCTTTCCAGTCTAATTAAAATATGCCAATAAGTTTGTTTCTTCACCAGATCAAATATTCAAAAGCAGAAATAAATCTTAAAGTACTGTTATATATTAGACTCGCTAAGTGACTATGAGTTGGCAGAGGATGAAAGGATTTGAATTAAGAATCCATTTACAGACAAATCTAGACTTTCTCAAATAATGAGATAACATCTGTTGTAAGGTTTGTAACATTGTCTTCATTACTACATACCACAAACTGCTCTCTCTAATACATGTAATCCTTTATTTTAAATTGTTCCCTTATTCCTGGCAGGAATATGGGAATGATACAGAGGAATARAGAGAGATTTATAACTTTGGACTGAAAGACTTCTAACAATAAATCCTGGACTGGAGATTTATAACAATATTACAACTTTGGCCTGAAAGTTTAACTCTACATAGCCCTTCCTGCTGCTTCAGATATGGATATGATACACCGTGATACCATACATCAGGTAAGACAGTGAAAAACAAATGAGAGGAAACTATAAACAGCCCTTTTTTGTGCTTTAGCTGATTACAGCCCACTGAATAAGCTAGAAGTCCATAGCTTGAGCACTCCTACAGAAATCCTGCCTCCACATTATCTTCATATGCTATTATCTTTACGAACRAATCTTTCAATGCAATACACAGACAATAACTTCTTTTTGGTGAGCTTAGCAAGGATTTCATGATATTTTAAAGATTAGAATCACTATTAGGAATAAATATCTGATAGTGCCTCCTTCAATATCATTTAGAGGCTTTTACACTCGGGAGGAAAGGTCTTAGGAAGACTGACAAGGAGCTCCATAAGCCAAGCAGTGAGCACCCCACAAAACCAGGCCCAGATCATGCCTGTAAGCCTGAGTGCAAGTGGGAACTAAGGACTTCCATGTACATGAAGGACTTCACAGACCCTGGATTCAGGAATGGAAAAATAAAGAGAAAAATGTCCCTCTGGTGCCCTTTGAAAGCGGGAAGCAGATAGAAGGTATCCATAAGAGGAGCGCACTGACCATCGTGACACCGCGTTGCTCCACTTGCTGAACTGATGGAAACACGGGAGAAAGTTGGTCTTTAGAGCAAGATAAGGACCAGAAAGGCAAGTTTTCTGCAGAAATATTTACTACTTCAAAATCATGATCTGACAAAAAAGGATGAATAAGGCTCAAAAGGAGACCTTGCACTGGAAGCTCTGACTTCTCAATTAGAGAGCCTATTTGTTTCTGTTTCTGACTAATGACAAACAACCAAAAGTATATTCATTAGAGAGTCTACTGCAACCAGGAACCAAGTATGGTCTTAATTAAAATTCCCAAAATAATAAGAGAGTCATTAGCAAACCAGCGGCGTAAGAAAGCTGAAGCTGTGCAAGTGACAATCATGGGGACCTTATAAAACAGGCGCTGTTAAAATGCAAATACTTAACTGCTTCTGGCACCCCACTGCCTTTCAGTCTTTCAAAATTTGCATGTGACACATTTCAATTAGATGTTCAGTTATCAGCATGCATTTATTCCCATAAAATGAAATGTACAGCTATATAAAATATACGGCATATTCCAAGAGTTTCTGCCTCTGAAAAGATAAGCTGTTTTTTTTTTTTTTTTTTTTAAGTCTCCTTTTCCCCTCTCTCTCTCCCCCCCTCCTTTTTTTTTTTTTTTTTTTTT